TAATTTCCCACTTTTAATCAATTCTGCATAGGTATTTTTAGTGATTGCGAATGAGTATGTCTTATGATTTTGATTTAAATTGATTGAATATATAGTTAATTCTAAATCATTTGAATCTGTCTTATTTTTCTATAGGATTTATATTAATCATTAGAATTTTCAATATATAGAATATCTATTATAGTAAAGGGTAAGATTGATATATTATAATTGATATCATCAATAATAATAAAAGCATCAGCATTTTTACCTTTCAGTTTTATAAAATTACCAACTCTCATTGTATCTGCCATATTAATTTAATCAATTTTTATATCTACAGTAAGATTTGACATCACTTTACAAGCATGATCCAATTTTTCAAAACATTCAATTAATTCAATATTAAGATAGTCAGAAAGTTATGAAACGTACAGGTAATATTACTACTTTATCCAGGTTACGTAATAATTATTCTATTAGTTTCGATTAATTACTTCAAAAATTTAATTTTCCCAAAGAATTACTTAAAAACTTAATATTCTTTTTTTTTCTTTTAAATAATATTGTCTAATACATAATGTTGAGGTTTCATCATTACAAATTAAAAGATCTTACTTAATTTGAAAAGGTCCCTTCAAAATTATGTTTTTATTATTTAAAAGTGTTAAATTACCAATGGGACCATAAAACATATCAGTAATATTTAGTTTCAAACTTTTATTATTTTCAATTTCAATTATAGAGGATTTCATGAGAGAAGATAAATTAAAGCATTGATTTTAAATTTAAATCATTAATTCAACACCTCCCTCCTCTTTTTAGTTTACTGAAAAGTTTTATGAAATGGTATTTTAATGAAATTATTTTAATTCCAATTCGACCCGAAATTGCTTCAAGAATGAGTACTTCCAAAATTTATTAGAGGAAAAAAATAGAAGATTTGAATCGAATTTAATAAAGGGATCATCAGTTGGGATAAATTTCATCAATGATAAACGAGACTAATTATATAAAAAAATGGCTATGTATAACATTTTATTTTATTCAATTAAAATAGCTAAGTTATTAGTGAGTATTGAGTACTTAACAGGATAATAAAATGAATAGTTCTAAAAGGTGTAATTTTATATTTAAAATAAAGGCAATACGATATATTTATCTAGAGTAACAGTCTGTTATGAATTAAGATTGAATAGAAATTATTTGTATCTCTGAAAATTTATAGCATCTAAAATTCTCTGTATTTTATATCGCTAAAATACTTGAATATTGTATAAACTTTGAATTCCCAACCTCAAAATAGAATATAATAGGTTCTGGTTAATAAAGGGTTTTTGATAGATAGCTGTAATTTTGATATGGCGAAGTATTCATTTATATGATAAGAGGCAGATTAGAACTGCTTGTGTAAAGTAATATACTTTAATAAATATGCTTAAAACTTGTAATCACTTCATTTAATTTGATATTGAAATGAGAAAAGAGAGAACCTTCTTTAAAGAAAACTCCTCTCATAACATTATTATTATTCTTGTTTATAAAATAATAGCCTAAATCACATTAAGTACATAATATTAACTTGCGTTAACCTAAATTAACAATTTTTATTATTAGCAATCATATATTTTAAAAAATGATCCTTATTCAAAACATATGTAGCTATTTATCTTTTCTTTTAGATAAAACTTATCCTAGAAATAAGATTTAGAAAGTCATGAAATACAATAATGTTGAAAGTCTTAATATTTCTAGATACTTAAGTTAAGACTTCCATCAACACTATAAAAATTATAAGTACTATTTTTAAAGTAATTAGGATAGTGTGGTTTCCATATTTAATATTACTTATTTTAACAATTATTTTGGAAAATCATCAAATCGGTGGATTATGGTATTTCTTTCTAAGTGTTATTTTCGTCTAAAAATTTAAAACAGCTTATAATATCATCTTTTCTAAACAAATTTATTTTCTAAATTACATATACATACTTCTATTTAGGTTTTACAACAGTACTTAATGCATAATACTTATAAAACTATAACACTTTTTTGGCTGAATCATATTAACAGAATAAATTATCAAAATCAAAAAAATACAATGTAGTGTTGCAAATTTGATATGTTTAATTAATTCTAACATTTATTAATACATCTAATTAAAATTGGTTTTAAAGGAAAAGAAGATTCTAAGAAAAGTGAATATTATTCATTGAATAGTTCTAATTCAATAGGATCTGCAATGCTTTTTAAGATTAATCAGATTCATCTAATTCATTGACTAAAATCATAAATAAACATTTCGGTTAAATTAGTATTTTCTGAATTCGATTTGCATATTATATTTACAAGCATTTCATAATTTTGACTTTATCTTAATTGAAATTCAATTACAGATAAATATTATTTTCTATCAAATAGATAACAGAAGAAAAATAATTATAATTACAGAAAGCTACATCATCAATAAAGGACAGGTTTGATAGCTAACTATCCTAGCACTTCATTTAAGAATCGAATAAAGTATTAGCTTAATTGTTTTAAATCAACAAAACTTTCCATTTCGAACATTGATAAAAAATAATGAATTATTTTTTTTTGCATTAATCTTTGATTTGGTCTGAAACATCATGTTCCAATATTGAATTCACATTTTTTGAAAATCCAAAGAATATTATTTTAAAGAATATTATTTTTAAGTTGACTATCCAATACAAAATAAACTCAAACTTTCATCTTCATTTCTAAATAATTCATCACAAAATTCATTAGCTAATATTTTTGTATTTATCCTAATTAATTCACTATAATTAGTTTATTCCTCATATAAAACTAAGTCAAATTCCGTATAAGTGATATTATTAAATTTTATTTGTTAAACAAAACTAAATTAAATTATTCATTCAAATAGTTTAATATTCAAAACTAACAAACAAGGAGCACATCAACCTTTTGTGTATTTTATTTTGATTCAAAGATATGACGAGTCTAGTTAGAATCGGTTCTTCTTAATATGGAATTTAGCATGACTTTTCTACAATTTGTGTATTGATTTTTTGGAGGTTCGAAAAATCTTCTTCATCTCCTTCTATTATACAACACCTTTAAGTGAATGAATAACAAGTAATTTAGGATTGATTTTTAACTCAACGCACTTTGAATTCTAATGGCTAATAAGGCACCCTAATATAATATATATAACTTCCATAAAATATCAAAATAACAATTAACTTAAAATTGAAATGATTAATGAATGCATCCAAAAATATTTAATTTATATTTAAACCAAAAAAAGTATCAGATCACCTGAAAAGTTTGATGAAGTACTTATCAATGTCATTTCTAAAATAATTTCTAGAAATAAAGAAAGAAACTACTTGACTATATTTCTAAGCATGAGCATTTTAGTTTAAAAATAATCATATAATCTAGACAATGAATGTAATAACTTATGATTGAGAATTATTATGGTGCAAACTTCTAATGTATGTCATTCTTTAATTAAAATTGCAGACAGATTTTTTAATTTGATGACAAAAATTTTAACTTAAAAAAATATTTTGCAGGAAGTAGTTTCATTTGTCAGAAATTAGATTACAATTATAAAGATGATAGAGGATGATTAATTTACTTTAATAAGAACTAGATTTTATTTCAAATTAATATCTATTAGTTAAGTTTATTTGGATTCACCCCTATCCTACTCTTAATCCACTGATTTGAAATTTGGAAGATAAAACTGCTGAATAATATGAATGAGGCAAAAATTGAAAAGCTTGAAGTGAGTTACTGGAAAGAAACTGAAAATACCAAGTTTGTTTGGATTCTGAGGCACCTTGGATATCATTAATTAGAATAAGTTCTTGCAACTGAATACTTCAAACTCTGACATTATGAGACATTGAACCTTCAACGAATGCATTAAACCAAACTGCAAGACTCTAGTAACAATATTTTATTAATATTATTGTTTTTTTATAAT